GATTTGATAAAAAAATAATATCCGGGCGAGTACTTGAGCACTGTGCAGAAGCACCAGAAGAAGGCATTCCAGTCTTAACGGTTTTTTTTAGCCGTGGGAGGAAGTTAGGGAACAAGGAAAAAGGAGGGGAGCGACGTGACACAAAAGATGGAGAGTGCAATCACTGCAATGATATGGACCCCTGTGTGTGTACTGATTCACTACACACACACACACACACACACACACACACGCACACACACACACACACACACACACACCTGTCTCTTATACACATCTAGATGTGTATATTTTTTTTACCTTCAGCGCAGCCCACTCATCAACTAACCTCTAACTCACTAAACCACTACTCAAACTACCACCACCACCGTCACCGCCCTGCCCTCAAACTATAGACTATCATCCTCTCTCACTCGACTCTCCGCTTTTCCTTCCTCTGTTTCGTCACCTTTCCGCCACACCTCCGCGCACCGTTCTCCTCACTAACCTCCTGTCCGACTTATCCTTCTCCCAATCTAACTGCACATTCGAAGTTGCTCGGGTTTAAGCCCCGACCTCGAATCCCTCCTTGCCCGAATCGAGTACTATCTCAGTTCCCATCCCCCGTCACTTCCCCGTCTCCCTCCATAGCTCGACGCAACTCCCTCTCGTCTTCGCTCCCTTTTTACTAACCCCTTGCCCGTTCTGACTTCAGATTCGGCATCGCCTGCCGTCAAAACCCCCACCTCGACCTATACTTCGCCCAATTTCGTTAAGGAATGAGCGAGCTACTCCTTCTTCTCCCACACCACGCTCGTCGCTTTCTTCCCCGTTGCCTTCACGTCTTTCTCGTTCGGCTACGAATGCCCCTGGCGCGAGTTAGCGCCCAAGTTCATCTCTTTTCCTTGCTACGTTCGCCACGCTGCCCCTCTGCCCTTTCCTTCTGCCGAAGTTAGCGCGACCTCCCACCAACAACGATCGATAATGGTTTGCCCAGTCTAGTATGCCCAACCGGCTTATCGGTTACGCGGGTACTCCCCGCGAGTTCTTACCACTGGTCGGTCACGTAGTCCTTTGCCCCCGCACCCGAATCTACCGATCGGTCTGCACAGCGGTACCACCGTACCCTCCCCGCATCCCGACTATGTGCACGCCCACCTTTCCTCCCGTACCCCGCTCGGCCTGCTCACTATTCCTCGCCTCCTTCGCTTCTCCCTGCTGCACACGTACCTGGCCCACTGTCCCGCCCCAGTTCAACCACCACCACATCACTTGCCTCCCCGTTACTCCGCTGCCCACTTTTCCTTAGTGCAGCGCCCAACAGTTGCAAAGGCCCGACTCGATCTGTTCGACAGCTCCGGCCACTCCGCTCCTATACCCAGGCCCGATGGACGGCTCGTCCGTGGCAGCAACACATCAGTCCTTACCGTATCTCTAGGCGCCCCGCCCAAGCAGGGCCGCCTCCCACCCTTTCGGGCTCCCAACGGGTGGCTCACCCAGCCAGCGGCCACAGCTCCAGGGCGCCAGCTACAAGCCCGTAGCTCGGTCTCAGGTGCCGCAGACCCTGGCGCAAACCTTGGTGGTGGTAGCAAATATCAAAAAGAGACCGGCCCATATGCAGGTTAGACTCCTCGGTCGACGTTTCAAGGCAGCCGGGGCGGGGGAATTTTGCCAGCATTCCGATCACTCAGGAACCCGAATTTGGGTCTTTGTCCACGGCCGGTCTCGAAACCAGTGTCGGGCTCAGACAGAGAACAAAAGAAAATAGCAATAATACTATTAAATTTTAACCCTACTCTTTAGAAAAATAAGACAAGAACAAAAAGGGGTCGGGATGCGGAACTCCCCTGCCACGCGAGCCCGCGATCGAATTCCCCCGGCAAAACCAAGGGGGATAAGCCCATAAGACCCTCAACCCCTCAGTCCTTTCACTGCTCAGCTGCTCCTGCACCAACGCCCGCTGGCCTCAATCCCTGAACCTCCATGGCAATAGGCCAGTACCGTAACCTATTGGGTTAAGCCCAAGCCTGGAATTGGCTTGCGCAAACGTCAATATAAGAGGGTACGGCGCGGCGCCCTGGCCTGGGCCTCACTCCCATCTACAACTAAGCACGCGGACGCTAAGCATCCGCGCTAGCTCGTCCAGGTAGAGTCGAGCCTGTCTCGCGCCCTACATCGTACGTTAGGCCTACCACTAGCCAACCATGTCGGATGAAAGCGGATATTTTATTCCTCACTCTAATCTGTAGCAAAATCCGGGTCGGTCGACTAACCCGGCTGCCCAATCAATCGAAAGAAATCACACGCGCGCCTCAAAACTTCGCGCCCACATACCTTCTAACTTGGTCAAGGCAAATCGCAGACATGGTCGTCCCCCGCGCGGCTTATTTTGACCTTATTCCTGTCACCTGCATAACTAGGGCGGATACCCTTGTAAGGGTATTTGCGCCGACACCGCCTCTCGATTATTGTCTGGACATAACTTACTTTTCCTCTTTGCTCTTTCTCTCCTAATTTGGCTTGAAGCGACTGAACTTTCCATCGATGATGGTTCATTAATCTCGTGTTTGACACTCCTCTCTTCATATTTTACCTTCGACTGCGGTCATACCAAAATTATTAACGACTCCTCAAAGGTTTTTGTGCCCTTTTCTGGAATCATGTTTACACTTGTATGGTCCTACACCTCGTTCATGCCTCTCTCCTAAGATTTTTGTCTTATGTAATTACATATATCCTTTGCCCTTCGGAATTCTGTCCAACTTCCTCCTCGTCTCCTCTCGAACCTGCAAGAGTTGACTCCCTCCATCCGCCTCAAGAGGTAAAATAATATTGAATTATGTTCGTCAAACTGTTGAGCGAGGTCCCTTTAGTCACAAGGAGAGTTAGAGGGACACCTTGGTTGAGGATACACTAAAGCTGACATATACTACGAAAACTTTAGGCACCTCCTGGAGTCTCCCCATCATTGGTTGAGATTCATTCCAGGGTAGCAATGGAGGGCAACCATATTATGAGTTTTCTCCTAGCGCTATACAATTTTAATCCAATTATACAATATTTCAAGGTTAGTTGGACATCGAGACCCAGGGTGCGTTAGTGATGGATAAGAGCTATAGGTTTGTGCAACTTGGATACACTTCAAAGTGTTCACCATTCAAGTGTCCTACAAAGCACCTACCTACTAGATGTGATCACACAATAAAACTTCAAGGTACCGCCCCTAATATAGGAGTTTGTACTGACCCTTGATTATTATATCCTTTCACTGCATATCATTTTTGCGTTCGGTTCGTCTAGCCTGTTGTGTTAGGAATTCCGGAACCTTGAGGGTGATGACTTCCTTGCATATGGTCAACGAATAACTCTTTGACAACTCCACCTTCCTTATTCTTAGTCGGCTCCAAATTTCATTGGCGTTGTCTGAATCGCTCCTTGTGTTCACATGGTCTCGATCTTGGTGCTTATCTATCTTCCTCCGCCCACTTATTTATGGGACAATCGTCCTCAGTGTGAAAATACCATTTACACCGCGGACACCTATCCGCATATGGAGTAATAATTTCCACCTTCCACCTATCACTTTTGGGAGACCGAATAATTAATTCGTCGTCTACTCAAAACCTAGCCTCCACAGGTATGCCAAATTTAACAATTATAAGTTTCGGTTTGATGCTATCAAATTCTGGTGCTTGCATAAATAATCTTTCTCCAAACATGCCCCATACCACACTCTTGAGAGAAAAGTAGACAACTAGTTTGACTCTAAGAGCGACATTTAAAAATTGGACTTCGCCTCTTATAGTCGAAATTCCTTGATGCTTTGTAGAGGTATCTATCGATGGCTTAAAGAATATAAAAAATATTCCTTATGCTCCCGTTTTATCTTCATATCCTTTTGTCGAATGAGCCACTCTGCCACTTCTTTTGCTTTTGCCACATAGGAAATCACATTTGGGTCATCAATTTGAATCTTACGTCTCTGATTGTTTGAGCTAAATAATCGCTTCGCTGTTTCACTTCATCTTGAAGCATCACAATTACTGTTCTCTCGTTGACTTGTTCGTTGACCAAAAAATGCCTCTCTTTCTTATCCTCAAAGGTGATGTCATCCGGGTATATGCCCTCATCATAGCATCACCGCGCAGATTCTCCAACCCTAGCTGCATCTCATGCTCTCACAATTACTATCGAGGGCCTTTACAGACCTGCCCTTGACAGGTTCACCATAGCCCTTTGCTTCATACAATTGAGACACCGGGTCCTACCCTACCCTGACTACTCGGACTGCTCAAGGGCACTGGTGCAGATAACTCCGCCTTCGTCATGAAGATTCCCACAATGATGGCAGACCCGAGCACTATGCTATCTGCCCGGTGCCGACAGCTCCCGTCCCTGATCTCAAAAGCACTTCAACTGTCTGCATATAGTTTTCTGTTGAGTCTTAAGGTTATTTTGAACACTAGAGCATTGCTCTCATCCATGAGGTCCAAGATATTTGGACCCCTTTTGTTGCGTGGCTGTATCAGCATCTCAGTCTATTAACACATTACTTCAGCCTCGGGAGTCATTTTTTCCATAATTAGGAAGTCGATGCCTTTTCCAACCTCACCTGCTGATTTCGTTTGAGGGGTCATTCTGCTATCTTGTACCAGATGGATGCTATCCTTAGACTCTCTGAAACTCCCCCATCCTAACTCCGGTGTCCGTCAGGCCTGGGCTCTTTCTTCCCCCACTTCCCTCCTGCAGGGGCCTTTACCCTGTGCCCTACCCCCGAGCCGCTACCTCCCCCGCTTCGCCCTCCTACCCCGGCCTCCTGAATGCCAGTCCGGCTTCGAGCTCTATTTCCACCCTACAGGCGGCGTATCCGTGCCCCCCCGGGGCAAGGTCCCACTTGCACGGATTACGATATTCTGGCCGTTGATCTCTGCTATCTACGGTCAATATCGCTTAATTCGTGTAAGTGGGACCTAGCCCCCGGTCTCCAGTCCGTGGATCCGTGGGCGCGAGAGCGATTACAGTGGAGTCGTGAAAGAAGGGCAGGCGGGAGGGAAGTGCAAGCCATCGATCGATGCAATTCCGAGTCCGAGAGTAAATAAAGGCCGCATTTGTCGTACGCTGGGCGAGCGAGTGAGGAGTTATCGTTTCGTCAGCTAGAAGGATCGGTCGAGGGCGTGAGGGACGTGTCGCTTTTCCGTGACGGCTCGTTTGATTCAACAGCGGCTCTCCGAAGAAGGACCAGGATGGCATTGCTACCGTCGGTTCGGCACGCCGTGAGGTGAGAGGAATTGCATGGCTTACCAAAGCTCTTTACGTGATGGTTCTTCGTGGCGTCCTTATCTTGCTCTGTTGATTGGTCTATCTGTCTGTCCAGTATAGCCAATCGCATTTAACGGGCTGCATTGTCAGTAAACATTAGGGGAGTCATGGTGCCTGCACGCGTTGTGTCGCGATGTGAACCAGGTTATCGATGAAGGGCTTTGTTAGTGGACTATGCGGCCAGTCGGGAGAGAGAGAGAGAGAGAGAGAGAGAGAGAGAGAGAGAGAGAGAGAGAGAGAGAGAGAGAGAGAGAGAGAGAG